CATGGCAATGGCTCTGTCTTAGGTTGCTTTCACTATGTATTCTTAACAAATAATCCAAGCATCGGGATTGGAGGAAAACTCATTAACAACCTAGGAGAGTTTTGACACAATCTTGTGTGCTAAAAGTGAAGAGAACTTGAAACACTTCCTGATGAAGATCAAAGATTACAGTCTTGAGTATGGATTACACCTCAACATAAAGAAGACGAAAGTCCTCATCACTGGAGCAATAAGCAGCAAGGTGATAAACGGATAGAATCTTGAATTTGTCAAAGATTTGACCTCTTTGAAGTTAAAAAGCAAAGATGTCAGATTGAGGACTAAGGTGCACCTGACCCAAGCCTTGGCGTTTTCAACAGTCTCACATGCATGTGAAGGCTGGGCAGTGACTCAGGAAGACCAGAGAGGAATCGATATATTGAATTATGATGTTGGTGAAAAATACTAAATATACCATGGACTTTCAGGACAATGAATAAACCTGGGCTGGCAGAAGAACAGTCAGGGAGGACAGCAAGACTTTGTCTCAAGTACTTTGGGCATGTTTTCAGGAGGGGCCAGTCTCTGGAGAAGATCATCATGCTTGGTGAAGAGAGTCAGTGAAAAAGAGGAAGCCCTTCAATGTGATGAGCAGACACAATGGCTTCAACAAGAGGCTGGAACTCAGGAAAGACTGAGGTTGAAGCAGGACCGGGCAGTGTTTGCGTCTGTTGTGCAGAAGGTCACTTTGTTCAACAACAGCGTGCAGTAGGGATGTGCATAGCACGTTTGCTCTACTGAGAAGCTCTTGGTGGATTTATGCAGCAGAAAGTTGTGATGTTTTGACTGGTACTACATCAAGGAGCTCTGGTAGCGTAGTGGTTACGAATCGGGCTGCGAACCTTAAGGTCAGCGGTTCGAAACTACCAGTCGCTCCGCGGGAGAAAGATGAGGCTTTCTACTCCCGTAAAGATTTACACCCTCGGAAACCCTGTACAGGGTCGCTATGGGTCGGACCCGACTCGATGGCACTTAACAACAACAACAACAACAACAACACGGCCCATCAGAGTCCTGGGGTGGCACTGGAGGGTCAGCACTGGACTGCTAACCACAAGGTTGGTGGGTGAAACCCACCAGCCACCACTTGGAAACCCTATCTAGGATTGCTTTGAGTCAGAGTTGATTCGATGGCACTTAACAACAACAATACACTGCTCACCAAACATGATCCTATCACGCAGTGAAAACCACACCAGAGACCCGCCCGAGAATCACACCTCCGTCACAAAGCTCAGGTTGCATGCAGCGCTTTTGGGAAAGTCATTTTGGTGGAGTCCCACACGCATCACACAGATAGCAGCTTTGATCAGTGAAATGACTATTGACAAAAATCCAGTCAGCCGAACTTCATCACCATGCTTTATGGAAATCCTGGATCCCAATAAAGACATTTCAGCAGAATAAAAATGAGGAGTTGACAACCAAATGTCCCGCATTGTACAGAGACCGGTTGGATGGGGTGTGTACAAGGTACAGGTACATGGCTGCTGGTGTATGTCAGTCTGTCTCCAAGAATGAGTCCTTCTTCCTGGGCCGACCTTGCTTTGGAACCAAACCTGACATGCCTGTCCTTGGCCTTGAGGATTTGGCATGTGTCCAGGGTGAATGAGGCCCCGTGCTGCTGGGCAAGGACTCAATGGCTGGAGGGAAGTCCCCCAGGTGTGATGGGGCTCTGTCACTCTGTCAAATAGAGAGTGGGCAGGGACAGCTTGACAGGATCCTCTTCATATGTTTTGGGGAAATGGGTTCCTTGAGCTACCCTGTCTTGGATGATCTTGCTCTGACGTCTTGTTGTTAAGTGCCATTGAGTTGATTCCGACCCATAGTGACCCTGCATAGGGTTTCCGAGGCTGGAAATCTTTACAGGAGCAGAGAAAGCCTCATCTTTCTCCCGCAGAGCTGCTGACCTTGAGATGAGCAGCCCAATTCGTAACCACTAGGCTATCAGCTGTTCATTCATTTGCCTTTCTGTCTGTCCATGTCCATCTGTCTACATGCCAACCACCCTTCTATCTCATCACATTCACCCAGTCTCCCTCAAGCTCTCTCTTGCCTGAGGTGTCAGGTGGTGGTATTATACCATGGACTTAGGGTTTCCGAGGCTGGAAATCTTTATGGGAGCAGAAAGCATCATCTTTCTCCCATGGAACGGCTGGTAGTTTTGAACTGCTGATCTTGAGGTTAGCAGCCTGACTCGTAACCACTATACTACCAGTGCTCCTTAGAGGCCCGGTGTAAAGGAATAGGGAATGAAGACAGTCTGAAGGGCTTCTCCTGGGCTGAGTTTATGCCGTCTTTGCCCTTGCCTGGGTGCATGTTTAAACAGCCCTCCCTGCAGTTTCCAGGGCTGGACATTCAGTGTTGTGGGAAAGTGACCAGTGCCCCTGAGCCCCAGGTTCCTCACTGTAAATGGGTTGGGTAAGAAGTGCATGGTTGGGACTGCCAGAGGAGTAGAAGAGGAGAGACCTGGGGTGGGACCACTTTTGGCACCAGCGCCAGCAGTAAGGTAGGGCTCCAACCATGGGATGAAACATTCTTGCCTTCTAGTTGGACAATACTGCCAGTCCCACACCCTGGCTTTGTGCCGGAGAACTTGGCGCTCTGACAGATGTCTCTGGACAGGCAGAGTTTGGGGTGTGTTCCTTGAGCACAGTGCCCCTTGCTGCCTTCCGGGGGGGGGGGGCGGCAGTGTTTCTATGGGGCTCTTCCTTTTCCTAGCTCCAGTGGCCTGGTGTTTCCCTTCCCTGGAGGGCTTAGCCATTTGCAATGGGAAGGCTTTCCCAGTGGTCTCACCCTGAGGCTGTAACGAGGGGGCAAAGCATCTCGGTTTCCATGGTGCCCGGGGTTTCCTCTTATTCCCTCACACCGCCTTCTCTGTACAGGATTGGGGCCCTCTCCTCTCTAGGGGCTGACCCACCAGGACCCTCGCTCCACTGGACCTTACCTCATCCAAGCTCCCAGTCCTCTGCTTGCTGCTGGCCAAAGAACTTCCCGCCCTGCAACCTGCACGGGGCTGGGTGTGCCTCTCTGAGTTGGGGACTTTGCTCTTCCCCACATAGCCCCTCTAGCAGCAAGTGATTGTGGAAGGGAAGGAAGGACAGATGGAGGGACAGATGCATGGACAGTGCTCTGGGTGGGGCTCTCCTGGGCAAAGGGACTTAGGGAGCTGAAGTTCACTCTGTCCAGCAGTGTCCGGGGCCATGGCCCAGCTATAGCCCTAGGTGGACTGAGGGCCCAGCCCTGACTCACCTGGCTGACAGGATAATGACACGCGCCTCCAGCTCCCGGGCCTCCATGAGCAGGGCCGTCACATTCTTGGTCCCTGGGTCGAACTGCAGCACCTTCTCAGCCTGCGGTGTGAGCCGGGGTGTTAGCAGGCGGTGAGGGCAGGGACATAGCGCCTCAGGGGCGAGAGTCGGGCTGCAGCCGCTAGGGACCCCGCTGCAGCTGAGCGATGGCCGCATGGCCTACACCCAGCTTCTGACTCCTGTCCGCCTGCCTTCCTCACTCCTAGCCTGGCCTGGCCTGGCCGGGCTCTCTGGTCCTGCGCTCCAGCCTGCTGACGCTCTGGCACCGTCTGAGGCCCTCTTTGCTCTCTGCTGTCTGCGCTCACTCTCCTCTCCTCCTCTCCTGGTATTCGCACTAAGCATGCAAGCTGGAGTGGCCCAGACTCAGGAAGGCGTGCAGCGGACAGGAAACAAAAGAATTTTGGAATGCAACCGGGAGCTGAGATGGGGCCGACTCTTTTAACACCATGGGAGAGCCTCTCTTTCTTGGGCCTGTAGCTCAGGCCCCTTGCAGGAGTGGCCGACCCCCGACTGCCGGACAGCCGGTCGGCTCCCTCCTGGGTTCCACAGAAGAAACCCTGGTGGACCCGGAGGTTCGCATGCACTTCTCGGAGGGAGAGCGGCACTTCTTGAGGCCCTGACTTCAAGGCATAGCGGGTGAGCCGCGGGCACCCACGCAGCACTCGCCTGCCTACCTGCCTACCTGCCTGCTTGCCTACCTGCCTGCCTGCCTGCTTGCCTGTTTGCCTGCCTGCCTCACGAGCTCGCTCTCCTCCTTGCTGCTCGCGCCTGCGCCTGGCGCGGCTCTGCCGGACGCGGCCCTGTGGCCGCGGCGCCCGCAGGCCAGGGCGCCCTAGTCGGTGGGTGGCGTGCACGTCCATGCATATATACCTTGGGTCCGCGCTTGTTGTCATAGGACAGTTGGTCGAGGTTTTCATAGTTCCTTTTTTTACTCTGATGAATAATGTGCACAGAGAAAATATGCAGACACAGAAGATTATAAACGGTTGAAAATGACGGCGCGAAAGCAACCACACCACCTCCTCGCACGTCTGCAGACGGGCGCAGACCTGGAGCTCGCAAACACCGGGGCGGGGCGGGGCGGGGCCGGGCGGGGCGGGGCGGACTGCGGCGGGGGCGTGGCAGCCACGGGGGCTCCCGCCAAGGAGCTGTGCTCTTGGTAAGGGACCCCGCTCAGGCGAAAGGGAGATCCTGTCCCCACCCACACCGAACGCAGTCCCCTTTGGGAGTCCCACCTGCCACCCCCACCCCTTCCATGCACCTGCCTCTGGCTCCAGCAGCATCCCCAGGTCGGTTTTAGAGGGGGGTGAGCAGTCCCTCCCCCAGGTCCTGTCCCATCCCTCCCGCCGCGCCCCTTCCCCATATCCTCCCAACTGCATCTCAGGCGGTCAAGGTGTTAGTTATCACGACCAGTAGTCTGTGAGGCTGAGTGTCTGTGGATGCACACCCTTCACCCAGTGTGCTGGACAGTGAAGTGTGTCTGCGTGGCTGAGGTGTGCCCACGGCGTCTGCAGGGGGCGTGAGGATCCTGTGCGCATGTGCGCACTTGCATGTGTCGGTGTGAGCTGGTGGAGACAGTGAAGGCTGTTGAGCACATGCGGGGACTTGTCTGCACCTGTGTGTGAGTGGGGCAGGTGTGGAGTGTGATGGAGTTGTTTTCCGATGGACCGGCCATGTGTGTGTGCCCACAGGCGAGAGGATGCCACAGTGTTCATCTGACCCCTGAGAGAGCATCAGGGCGGACGTGACTGGGTGTACAACGGCGTGTGCATGTGTGTGAGGAGCGAGTGGGATGGTGTGCGCGCTCCCGGCAGCTATCAGCGTGTGATGGGAGCTGATTGGGTGGGCATGCCAGAAGGTCACTTTCTCAGTGGGTGCTGGAGTTGCACACAACATCTTTTCCTTAGCTTCCAAGAGGTCGTCTTAGGGGGCACACGGTACTGTAAGCCTGCCCTCCCGCTCTCCCTCCCAGACTCAGCAGATGCACCCTCTTCTGGATCTGCCTTCTAGCCTTCTAGCCTGGACCCCCGTCGTGTCCTCTACTTCCTGTGGGGGGCCCAGTGTGGGTGCCCCGTTTGATGAAGTCAGTTCGGCTTCCCAGGCAGAGCATGCTCCTGCCCCATTCGGCGCCCCTCCCCGGGTCTGGTCTCCATGGGCCCCTCCCCAAACCTGGGCTTTTCCCTCTGTTGCCCTGTGGGTGAACCAACTCCGGGCTGGGTGAGGGTGTGTCCCTGGTCCATGGCCAGCTCATCCTCAGACTGGCATCTGAGTGGGCAAGGAAAGGGGTGGGGGTCACCTGGACCCCCCCAGAATTTCCCACTCTGGTCTCTGTGAAGCCCCACAGAGGGGGAACGGGCTGGGGATGGGGTGGTCAGACCATTCTAGAATAAGCTGGTCCAATTGGGTCAGGGCGGTACTCCCAGTGGGGTGTTTCCAGCTGAGAGGGCCCCTGAAAGGTGTGGCAGATGTGGGATGGGGGTTGTGGTGTGGACGATGTACAGTGAGGTGAAGGGTGGCGGGGAGGAGAGGCCAGCGTGAGGACAGGGAATGGGTCACAGCAGAGGGCTGGGTGCTTGGGCAGGGGCCTCGGGTGCCGGGAGAGAGCCTGGCGGAGTCGCCTGGTCTCTGAAGTGGGGCGCCCGGAGTTCTGAGCCCAGGCGGGGCTGCCCTGGCGCGGGGGCAGGGTGTTTGCGGAGCTCCAGGTGGGCCTGCCCTCGCCAGGCAGGGACTGACACGAAGGAGAGTTTGACTAATGGCAGAAGCGAGTGAAATGAGCCAAGGACAGGCTGGGGCGGGCGCTTGCCAGACGTGATGGTGCTGACCATGCACGATGGAAAGAAAAGGTGTCAAACACGGAGCCACAGACACAGCGGCGGGTGGCCCGCTCCGTTCCTCTCCTGCTCCGCGCTTCTGCGACCCAGCCGGCAGCCCGGCGCTCACCTTGGATTCGCGCTCCTCCAGCAGTGTCTCGAGGCGCTTCTGCGCTGCCCGGCCCTCATGGTCATCGCTGACCAGCAGGATGATGTGGTTCCAGTTGTAGACGCGCATCATTTCGAACCAGACACTGGACTGGTGAGAGTAGGGTGGCACGGTGCGCAGGAAACTCAGGTGAATGCTCTGAGGGGGACACGCAGAGAAGGAGCTGAGGCTATGTCCGGACTGGCTTCCTGTACCCCGGATTCCCCACTGCCTTCCGGCCTAGATGTGGCTGCTTACTAGACCCCTGGACTCTCATTTTCTTCCACCTGTGGGACCAGGTGGGGATACTTGCCTGATGGGTTCCCCTTTTCTCTCCATTTATGGGGCCAGGTAATAGTATTTGTTAGACCTGGGCTCCCCACTTTTCTCTCTGTGGGATCAGGTGGGGCCACATGCTAGACCTGGGGGACCCCACCTTCTTTCACAGGTGAAACCAGGTGGAGTCCCTTGTTAAACCTGGGGTCTCCCACGCCCTCCACCTGTGGAACTAGGTGGAAATACTTGCTTGACCCAGGGTCTTTCATTTCCTTCCACCGGGTAGGGGTCCTTGCTAGACTTGGGGATCCCCACTGCTTTCTGCTCATGAAACCAGGTGAGGGTACCTGCTCCACCCAGGGTTCCCCACGTCTCTCTGTCTGTGGACCTGGGGGGCCACTTGTCTGGCACGGGCATCTCCCTCTTCCTCCATTCCTGCCCTTGCATGCTTCCTTCTCCTCCCTCTCCCCCCACATCATCTAACCTGAGAGATGGAGAGACTTTGGCACCCCTGACCGAGCACTGGGTCTCTGTGCTGTGCTCCTGGGGTAAACTCACCACCTCTACTGGACAGTTTGAAGTCAGGGCAAGTTCTCCCCGACAGGCTGCACCTTCAAGACCCCCAGTGGACTGCATGCATAGTCCCCCCCAAATGCAGTATCTGCCTCTAGAATGTCTTCACTCTCGGGGTTAAATATTTCACCGATTCACCAGCGTCCAGAGACTGTCCTTCGCTGGCCTCATCCTCCTTCTCTGTGTGTACTTGGGTTTGTCACTAGCTGTCCAGTTTGTCACTAGCTGTCCACAGAGCCCAGCTGGCCAGGAGAGGGGCAGGCTCTGTACTCCTTGCTCTAGTCCTTTTGCATCTGTCCAGGTGACAGATGTAGTGTCCCCAGAGACCCATACTGATCTTGGGACCCTCTCCAGTTTCGGTCTCACTTGTTTTGTGGTGGGAGCAGTGCCTTGGAGCCTGCATGCAAGAATCCGCACGGCTTTGGCCCCTCATCCGCTTGGCTGGGATGCACCTCAAGGTGAAGTCTAAACTGGCGTCTTGGTCTGACCCTGACCTGGGCCTTGCTGCTCTCTCTATGAGTAACTTTGGCTGTGAGCTGTGGCCTTATGGGGGGACCTGAGGGTGGGTTGTGATGGGGATCTGGCCTGTTCTTTGACAGGACCTCTCCTCTGGCTGCTTATTTCTACCTTTTACCTGTGAGGACACCGTGACTGAAGAGCAAGAGGAAAGGGAATGGGGAGCAGTTTGGATTCCTCACCGGAAGCCAGGGTTTTCTGAACTCTCAGGAAGGGTGGCTGCTCTAATCTCCAATTGAGCCTGGTCTGACTGTCCCTTCAAGTGGGCAGACCCATCCCCCTCTCCCCCTAGGCACCTTTGGTCTGGCCTTGAAGCAGTTTAATCTGAGACTGGAAGAATTCAGAAGAGGTGGAGAGCCTAGTCTGTTACCCCTTTGCTCTGGGGTCCACATAGCACGGCTCTGGCCCAGTGACCTTGCAATTCTGTCTGCAGGTGGCCACAACCCTGGAGGCAGATGAGGAGCTGGGATGGCACCCATGCTGCCAAGTTCTGAAACTAGCTGCTGGGTCCTCTGAGACTCATAGGTAGGACAACGCCTGGGGGGCCAGGAGCAAGCCCCCTCTTTCTCAGACTACCCTTTCCCTGACAGCCTCTTAGCACTTGTAGGCACCCTTTCAGAATGGGATGACTATAGTCAGACCCCCAGTCCATGGGTCATGAGGACTTCGTAGGGCCTGAGCCCTGGTGTTCTGTGGGATGGCCAGAGCGCCTCCCACCAAGTGTCCCTCCGTTATTCACTGTGGATAAATGTGGATGGATGCAGACACCGTTTCCCACCATGCTCCGGGGTGAACGAGGTAAGAACAATAGATCTCATGTCCGTCTGTGTGTCTCCTTGGAATGTCTGTGTGTCCTCTAGAGCCCCAGCTCTCCCTTTGAAAGTCCATGTGCCGCCGCCTCTTCCAGGAAGTATCCCTGCCTCTTGCTCCTCCCTGCCCATGAGCGAGCTGTCCTTCTGAGCCAATGGCACCTGTCACATGACAGCGGTCCTGCTGTGTGTGTGTGTGTGTGTGAGCATATAAATGTGTATATGTGTGAGTGTGAATTGAATTTGTGAGTTCAAGTGCATGGGTGTGTGAGTGTATAGATGTGTGTATGTGAAATATTGTGGGTGTGTAAGATTATCTGAGTGTGGGAATGTGTTGTGAGAGTGAAAGTTTGTGTGTGAGTATGTGAGTGTGTGTGTAAGTGTCTGAAACTGTATAGGAGGGAGTGTGTGTGTGTTATATGTGTGATGTAAGGGTGTGTTTGTGTGTCTGGAACTGTGGCAATGAGCATGTGTATGAGGTTGGTATGAGAGTGAGTTTGAATGTAAGTGTGTAAACATGAGTGTGTATGGGTGTGGGTGTGTGCGTGACTGTGCATGGCTGTGTCAGTAAGTGAGTGTACTTGTGTTTGTGTGTGTAAGTGTGTGACAGTGGATGATATGAGTGTGACTGAGTGTGTGTGGGAGAGTATGTTTGCGTGTGTGTGTACGAGTGTGTGAGTGTGTAAATGTGCACACATGTGGGCTCATGTAAGCCCTCCTTGGTGGCAGGAGCTTGGTCTGAGACTGCAGGTTCCTTCTACTTCCTGACAGTGTTGGCAGCCCCCAGGCCGACTGGGCAGGGGTCAGGCTTACCTTGTCTGAGTAGATGGACATGCGGGTGGTCAGTCCCAGGACGGGGATGCGGTAGAAGCCGGCTGTGTAGGAGACAGGGGTGGGAGTGAAGTGGTCGTTGGGGGTCGGTGGGTGACTAACTAAGATGGCATAGACCTGTGGACACAGAAGACGGGTTAGTGTGGACAGGTGGGTCCTGCCCAGAGATAGCTGCAACCTGGAACTCGGCAGGTCGATAGGGGGCCCAGGTGGTGATACAGTGGGAGACACATGCTGACCTTGCTCCCAAACCCACCAAGCAGGGTCTCCTATCCGTTCTGTCACTGAACACACCGCGGAGGTGCCAGAGTCCCTTCAACCAGCCCATTTCCCTGCTGGGGTCTCCAGGTGGTCCCTCCCATCACCCAGTGGTTGCCCAGAGGTGAGCCAGACCTTTGACAGAGAAATGGGCAGGCCTGCCCTTGTGCTGTCCCTGGGGTTTCTGTGTGCCCCCGACCCTTGAGGGGGAATGAGTTCCAGGCTGTGCTGATAACAGTGTCCAGCCCACCCTGTCCTTCCCTCCTCCTGAGTCGGGGGCAGTTCAGAGACCTGCAGCTCACAGGGCAGCTTGAACTTTAGGGAGAAAAGCTGGACAAGGAGCCTCCAGAAAGGCTTGTGTGAGCCAAGGGCTCAGTTGTGTCTGGACGAGAGAGAACCCAACCTGACTTAGAATTTTGACTTCATCCCACAAGGAAGGGAGAGAAGGCACTGAGAGACTTGCTACCAAGGCCCCAGCCACACAGGTCGGAAGCCAGTGGCTCAGTACCCAGATGTGTGGGTGTCTCCTTCTCTCCCACCATTCCTGGGTCTGAACCTCCTCTGCCTCTGCCTCCTGATAGTACGTGGCAAGGGTGCCTGGTTGGAGGGTGGAGCAGAGGACCCAGACAGCAGCACTGAGTGAGTTAGAGAAGGGGTTCCCCATACTGTCTGGTCCTGGACTCCCTGAATCCACTCCTTCACCTCTCCCCTGGCCCAGATAGACCACGGGACCAAAGCCACTGGTTACAGAGGCCCAGATGAGGTCAGTGCCATCCTATGGGATACTAGGTTGGGGGGGGCACAGGGTGGCTTGTAAGGTGTGGGGAGGGCCCTGAACATGGCTACTGAGGTTGGTGGTGTGTGGACAGCTCCTCCCCCGCTCCTGGGTCCTCATCCCAGTCTCTCAGAGGGGCTGGGTCAAGGGTTGTACAGGAGTATTTGCATGGGTACCTGTGTGCGTGTGTGCATGCGACCATGCAAATGCTGGCAAGTGTGTGTGGGGGAAGCCCGGCATGCATCTGTATATCTGTGAGTGCATGTGCATGATTGAATCTGGAGTGCTGCATGTGTGTGCATGTGTGATGTATGCACAAGTATGAACCAAGCAGAGTGTGTGCATGTGAGCAGGTGTACCTGTGGCTGTGGGAGGCAAGTGTGTGCAAATGAGGCTGTGCAATTTATGATGTCACACTGATTACCTCGATGTATGTCACACACATGCATTTTACTTCAGGGGTGGACAAGGGTAAAGAGCAGCTGGGACCATCTCTAAGTTTCAACACCTCCCCCTCCCAGGTTTCAGGATGAATGAACATTGGTAGCATGTTAGCAGAAGCACCCTCCCCCCTTTTGGCCTCAGGCATCTTTCATATTGGCGGCACCTTGGAATGTCATCCCATTCAGGGACAAGCGTGCCCTACCCCCTCACAGCTGGTGTGTAACACTGATTGCAAGGTGTATACTAGTGCAAGTTCATGCCTGTCTGCACAAGCATGTATTTATAAGAGTGTGCGTGTGGGCGTGTGCACATCAGGTGAGCACATGTGAGCAGCATTTGCCGCGACGTGCTGCCTGTTACATAAAGGCTGCATTGCAGAGCGTCTCCGCTTCACTGGCATTCAGCAGGCGGACAGCTCCGCTGCTGCCAAATGCTTCCCCCCCAGCGCAGCGCTCCATGCTGTGCCCTGCCACTGGCTCTGGCATGCGCATCCTGATCTCCCACCAGCACAAAATGTGTCCCACTTAGATACAGAAGCCATTTCCCATCTCCTGAGGACCCCAGGGGCTGCTCTGGGGGAGGGAGGAGGGAAGGGAGAGGAGAAAGAAACAGAAGGAGAATCCAAAAACAGAAACAAAGATGGCCCCAGGCTCTGCCTCTTTGAAGCCCTCAGTACTGGCATTGGCTGGGCACCTCTGCCTACACCTCCGAATGCGCCCCCCCCCCCCACTGACATATGATGACACAAACTACCAAACACCCACTACAATGGAGGGGTGTAAGAACCTGGAGCCCTTCTAAGGACTGGCCAGGGGTGTCAGGTGACCAGTCAGGAGAACAAGATGAGGGAATCTGGCATGGTTAGTATTTGGCAGTTAGTGAGGCCAGCCTTGTCAAGGCTGAGCCAGGTGGCTTGGGGATGGGTTTTGAGGAGAGGGAGAGAAACCAGGAAAGGATGGAATAAGACTAGGTCTGGCAGAGAGGGAGGGCAGGGGCTGGTGGGCACCTGGCTGGAGATGAGGTCTTCGCACACGGACAGGGCCATCTGTATGGCGTTGGGCTTGTGGGTGACGGAGGTGGCATTGAGCTGTATCTTCCAGGAGCCGTGTCGCTTGTTGGCCTGGTTCACGGCCTCGCGGAACATCTGCTCATGTTTCCGCGTGCTCAGCACGGCGCCGATATTGACGATCTTGGGGTCGCAGGCTGCGCGGGCGAAGGAGCAGGAGAAAAGCAGGGCGAGGGTCAGCAGACTCATGGTGCTCATGGGCTCCGGCCGCAACGGGCCTGGCTCTGCGTGGAGCGAACGGGGGACCCTCGGTGCATCCCCAACAGGGCGCCCCGGCGGTCTTCGGGGGCCACGTCTTCCTCGGGAGCCTCAGTCCCGGCACCGTCTGAGGGAAGGGGGATACCAAGCCTGTAGCTAACCCCTGAGTTTCCTCGGAGCAAGTCGGCTCTACGCTGGAAGCTGAACAGTCTGGACGCCAAACGCCGGCGCGACTGGTGCTGTCCGCGGTGCTGAAGCGGGGCTGGCTGGGCTCCGCTTGTTGCGTTGGTCCTGGTCCCGCTGCCGCGGTGACGGCAGCAGCTGCGGAGCCGAGAGCCGAGCCAGCGTCTCCTACCCCTCCAGCCGCCCCCGCTCCCCAACACAGAGCCAAAGGGGGGCGCCTCCTGCGCCGCAGCGTGCGCCTGCGTTTGTGGGAGCGTTTGCCGGAGCGCGCGTGAGCCGGGGGTATGCGCGCGAGTGTGTATATGTGTGTGTGTGTGTGTGTGTGTGTGTGTGTGTGTGCCCGTGCCCGCGCGCGCGCGCGCGCGCGCAGAGGGGGTCGCTTGGGACAGTGGATTTTGCTGCTGCTGCCCTTCAGGAAGCTGAGTGTGAGAAGGCTAGAGAGTTCACTACCACCGCCAGCAGACTGACCCCCGCATGTCTCAACACGACGAATGTGTGTGCTGTGTGCTTGCATGAACCCGGGCGAGCCGGTGCACCATTCTACACCCACGGTCAGTGACATTTCGTGTCTTGACTGTGGTTGGAGAACCAAGGGTGTGGAGAAGCCTTAATCTGTGCTTCTTGGGGAACAGTGGGGTTTCTTTCTCTCCAGAAGGTTAAAAATGGGGGAGGAACCCCATCTACCTAACCATGTGACTGGGAGTCCCAACCCCACCTCCCCAGGGTTGGGAAGAAAAGGGACAGAGATAGTGGCTGTCCCCATGTGGAGAGTCTAGGAGTCTGGACCTGTCAGCTATGGAGAGACCAAGGCAAGAAGAAGCTGTGTCTGCAGCAACTAAGACCAAGGTTAGACAGCAGGAAGCACTTGCTCTCTGGAGCTGTATCACTCCTGTCATACAGGCCTCATTCCCTGCTTCTACTCGGGTCTCCTTTCTAACCCCTAGTGCTCTTCCATCCCCTTCTCCTTCCCCTTTTCTGAGCTTTCCCTGCCCCTCTGGTCCTCAAGATCCTAATTCTTTGTCCCCCTCCACCCCTAGAGTGTGCGTCCCCCACCCCATATCAAAGGATGGCTGAAGCTCCACCCCTTCAAGTGACATCACCGTTTCCAATAGCAACTGAGGATTCTGCAGACCCGACAGCGAAAGCCCCCAATGGGGACAAAGCAGGGTTGTTCCCACACCTAAGAGCTGCCTGGAGCAGAGGAGAGGGAGGAGCCACGCCCCCATTATGGGCACTCTGACTGCTCTGCTCCAGTTGACCCTCCCCAAAAACCAGATGCTGTGGGGGACCCTGCTTCCCTCACAGAGAGCTGCTCCCTTACCCAGCTTCCTCTCTCAGCTCCTTGTTTCTTGCAGGGACTCTGTGCTTGGGGTCCAGATGTTGGATTCCTGTTGCAGACCTCACCTCTCTGTTGGGGAGGGGTTTCAGTGGAAGGACACTTGGTCTTCCCAGTGAGCTGTCTTGTGGACATGTGGTGGTAGGAGGTGTTCAGGGGTCCAGAACTTGCCTCTTCTCCAGACAGTATGTCTGATCGCCAAACTTCTATGTCCACTGGGTACCCAGAGGCTAGAGAACGGGGTGGGTGGCCACTTAGGTCAGTCTGTTCTAGGCTGGGGCAGACAGCTTCCAGGGAGTGAGAAGCTCACCTCCCACCTACCCTTACCCCTGCCCCCAGTGGGGCGCTGGAGCAGGCTTCTACAGATCTGGGAGTCTGGAGAGTCAATTGCTAAGTACCCAAGAAATCTGTTAGCTGCTAGCTACACAGTTGGGAGCTGGATGTGGGCTATGGTGGGAGGGGTTTATACCAGGGAAATTGTCAGAGGCTACATACAAATGCAGGCTTTTTTCTCCTTCAGTTTGTCAGCATACCACTGCCTCCCCCAGGCTGTCAGTACCCCAGCTGTTGTTCTGAGCCCTTTCCACACACCCCTCGGTGTTCTAGGATGAGGTGGATGCCTCCTCCAGACCTCAGCCCCCTCCCCTGAGTGAGGTTTTCCAGAACCTCACTCCTTTTTACCTTCTGGGCTTCCTCTGTTGGGAGTGGGACTCGAAAAGTCCAAAACACTAATGAGCCAGAGACTTTGGGACGGAGCAAGAACCTGTTGCTGCCTCTGGAGCAGGACTTAACAGGTGAGGTTTCAGGGGCACCCTAGTCTTCCCCAGATGCTATGAGACGGTGTCTCTGCTGCTAAGACCCTTAGGAAGGGGCTCTCTGGGTGTTTGTTCCACCTCATTAGCTCTGCCCAGCACCCACTCCTTCCTCTGGGACCTGCACTTCAACCACATGATATTTGTCAGAGCTGTTAGTCCTAGATGCAGCCCCTCCTTGGCCTCAGTTGATTGACCTAAGACAGAGCAACTAGGGATCGTCCCTAGGATTTGGGCTATTATTAGATCAGAAGGTGGGAGAGCAAGGAGTTTCGTAATCTTTCTGGAGGTGAATTCCTGAGAACCACAAGAACTTGGCTTCAAATACCATCAGCAGGCACAGTTCCTATCAAGAGGAAGCCACTTTGAGAGGATGAAACTGACAGGCATGGAGGAGGGACTGTGCAAGAGTTATGAGCAGACCATGGGGGAGAGGAAAGACTTCTGTCCTGTGTCCACCTGCTCTGTGGGCCGACTTCCACATCAGGACTGGGAAATGGGCTGCCTTCAGCAGGCCTGGCTACAGAACGAAGAAACAGACCAGGGGCAGGATCTCTGTACCCTGATCCTGGGGAGCCCAAGGACCCTCTCTTACTGACACCCTCCCAGTGCTTTCTTACTGTCCTCATGCCCACGGCCACACCTGTTCACAAGGTTCCACTGCCTACAGATGATCCCTTCTCATCCTGCCCCATCTGCTCTGATTTTCCAAATTCCATCCTTCCTGGGAGGCCATCTTTCCAGCATCATAAAGTCCCTACCTGGGTATTTTCATTGTTAAGTGTTGTGGAGTTGGTTCTGACTCATAGAGACCCTGTACAGGATTCTAAGGAGCAGCTGGTGGGCTTCAACCACTGACCTTGTGGTTAGCAGTCCAGTACTTATTCCATCGCGCTACCCCAGGACTCCTACCATGGGTAAGAGTCTACGTTTCTTACAGTCAGCTAACTCTGACTAAGTGTCTACTGGAGTGCATTGAACAGAATCAACCTCCACCCCATCCAGGTCAACCTGGAACCTCAGAACTCAATCTTGTTTGGAAAGAGGCAATTTGTAGATGCAAATAGTTGAATTAACATGAAGTCATACTGTATTCAGGTGGACCCTCAATCTAATGACTTATGTTGTTGTAAGACAAGAGGAAAACACACAGATACATACGAGGAAGACAATTGTGTGAAGATGGAGGCAGAACTTGGAGGTGTTCCACAAGCCAACGAGTGCCTGGAACCATGAGAGCCACACAAGGCAAAGAAGAGTCCTTCCCTTGAGTCTCCGGAGCGAGAGTATGGCACTGCTGATACATTGATTTTGGTATTTTCACCTTTAAAAATAAGAGAATTGCCTTAAGCCATCCAATTTGTGGTTATATGTTACAGCTGCCACAGGAAACTCATATATCCAGTGGATGCCAAGTTCAACAGTGAAAAAGTTAGAGCCCCTGATTTATGACGTCAACTCAAACCATGTGGCACACAAGGAAATTTCAGACAGCGAAATACTGTCAGTGTTAAGTACTCTGAAGAAAAGTGAAGCCGAAAGTAGGGCCGAAGGTGTGTGCAGGATTTAACATGCATCTACAATGTCTCTGAGTCCCTCCCTTCAAAAGGTGTAGCTCAGTTTTTTTCCTTGAATGTGGACTGGACTTAGTGACTTGCATCTAATGAAGGGGATGTAGCAGAAATGCTATTTTTTAGCATCTGTTCTTCATTCCATTTTTCCTCCTTTCTTGTCTTAAAAAAAAAAAAAAAAAGTTTTACTGTGAATTTAGTGAAGGTTCACAGAGCACACCATCAGTTGTAAACTCAACAAACCCTACACGTTGCTTCATTACATGGTTGTAATCCCCCTCATGTACCGATAGTTCACAACATTTACCTCTATGCCCTTTAACCTGTGCATTCCTGCCTGTGTCCCCAGCTACCTTCTCCTTTCCTCTGCTAACCTCCCTCTTGTGCATTGCCTGCCCTGTCACTCATGTTAACATGTGTCTACCTTCTAGCCCATGAATATTTTTCCCTTCCCCCAACCATCATAGATTGTTTCTTTCATCAAGAAAACCTTTAAAAATTAAAAAAAAAATTTTTTTACAACATTGGTTTCATATATTTGTCCTTTTGTGATTGACTAACTTCATTTAGCATAATGTCTTCTAAGTTCAACCATGTTGTGAGGTGCTTCACAGATTCATCATTATTCTATTGTGTGTGTGTACCAAAGTTTGTTGAACAATTCTTCTGTTGATGGACTTTTAGGCTGTCTCCATCTGTTTGATATGTCTCTTGTAGACAGCAGATTGAAGGATCTTGTTTTCTTATCCATTCTGGTCTTTATGGCTCTTGACTGGTACATTTCATCCATTTATATTCAGTGTGATTGTCAAAAAGTATGAATTGATTACTGTCACTTTTCTGTGTGTTTTTGTGTGGTGCTGCTGGATTCTTTGTTCCACATGATTTTCTATGCTGAGTTCATTTTGTTTGTGGGGTTTCTTTGCATTTTCATTTCTGTTGTAATGTTTACTAAATATTTTTGATTTTTCTCTATTTTTATATTGATATGCAGGTGTATTATTTTTCTTTGAGGTTGCCCTGTAATTTATTATTTTTTCCCCTGCTTAAAACTGTGTTTTACTCTTGACTTCTTTGCATTTAGAAGTTCTGTATCTATTCCCTCCTTTCGC